TACGGGCGCGACACTGAGGGTTGTGATCCGTTGCCGGACACAAAAAAAGACAAAAAGGAAAGAAAAAAAGAAAAATTACGAAGATAGTTGTGATCCGTTGCCGGACACAAAAAAAGACAAAAAGGAAAAAAAAAAAAAAAGAAAAAAAGAAAAATTACGAAGATAGTTCAGGGTATCCATATACCCCACACCCAGTTTTCCCTATTCTTACCATCTTAAATAAGTATGGCACATTTGTTACAGTTAAGGAATAACGCTGATATATTATTATTAACCAAAGTCCATACTTATTTAGATTTACTTAGTTTTACTCAGTATCCAATCTCATCCAGGACACTACATTTATCATGTCTCCATAGATTCCTCCTGGCTGTGACAGTTCCTTAGATTTTCCTTATTTTGATGACCTTAAGAGATTTGAAAGTACCGGTCAGGTATTTTGTAGAATGTCCCTCAGCTGGAATTTGTCTAATGTTTTTCTTGTGATTAGACTGGAGTCATGGGTTTGGGTAAGAAGATCATTGAGGTAAAGTACCATTTCCATCACATCATATCAGGAGAAAAATACTATCAACACGAATTATCATTATCGATGTTGACCTTGAGCACTTGGCTGAGGGGTTTTTTCCACTGTAAAGTTAATCCTTTTTTCCCACTTTCCATACTGTACTCTTTGGAAATAAGTCATTATGTGTACGCCACACCAAAGAGTAGGCAATTACAATCCACCACTTTGAGGGGGAAATAATTACAAAACTTACCTGTCTTTTCTCTATTTTTTAATTTACAGTAATTTATGTATACTAGTATGAACTTGGAGATATTTATTTTATACTTGGGTTTACAATCCAATATTACCTCATTTATTTTGTTGTTCAAATGGTTCTAGCTTTGGCTACTAGGAGCTCTTTTAGTTGCTTTCTGTATCTCTTGGCATCATGTGGATTTTCTCATTTTTTAAACACTTTCTTTCTAGTACTACAAGATGTTTCAGGCTCACCTGGTATGTTTTCTGCCCCAGTGCCAGAATAAGCCATTTCTCCAGGAAGCCCTAGTTCCATTTATTGGAGAATAGTATTAAGAAACCACGATTTGGGAGCTAGGTGTGCTCATTGCTACTGCAGTGTTCTTGCTTTTAGGCTCTCTGAGCTGACTGAGGACATATGGTAGAGTTTGGATGTTATTGTCTCCCTAAAACTCATGTGGAAATCTGATCCCCAGTGTGGCAGTGTTGGGAGCTGTATAAGTCATGGGGGCAGATTCTTCATGAATGGATTAATGCTCTCCCTGGGGGCTAGGGGTAGTGAGTGAGTTCTCCATTCCCACGAGAGCTGGTTGTTTAAAAGACCCTGGCACCTCCCCTCCATCTCTTTTGCTTCCTCTTGCCATGTGATCTGCTT